AGAGTGTTGGCTCTCCACTGCAGGTAATGTCTGTGCTTTTCTTCCACGGTTCTCCTTTCTTGTTGTTCCTCACTTGTCTGCTGTGGTATTACTTTTAAAGCTCCTGCTATTATGCCAGTATTTACTAACACATTCTCAATGAATCTAGTAAGAAAAGCTCCCAAGTGAAACTTAACCTCACAGTTTTCTTTTACCCCTTTGGGCAGACACTAAAATATTGTGGCTAAAATGCTCCATGGCTATGTAATGTGCCTTTGAAAGCAAGGTTATATTGATTTAGGCATATTTCATGTGAGAAAATCACAATGTGTGGCTTAACCTCCAAAATAATATTTGGGGGTCGCTAGATTTCTTTTAAAAAAGGGTCAAAACTGATATTAATACAATACTGAGTCACTTGTAATTTTTGTTTTGAAGCTGCAAAGTTCCTAGTCTGTTCTGTAGGATATGTGTGAAGGTGGCCTCGCCCACACAAGAAAGGAGATAGGGTGGGAGAACACATGGCAGAGGTCAGTTTTAACAGAGATGGGTAGAATGGCCTTCGAGCTGTTTACAGCTCTTGGCTGTCCTATGTGTATCCAAACAGATGACTCTGTTTAGACTGCTAACACCCACAGATGTCTAAGTAGCTGACCTTGACTTGTTTCTACTCTTTGTGAACATTGATTACAAAGGTACAGTATGTACTGCTATGAGGATGTCGTATCTCTTGCCATAAAATGTGTGACTATTGATGTTTCTCTCTATTATTGTAGGGTCTTTACGTTACAATATAAAGCTTATTTTTGGGGGAGGGGATAGCCAGGTCATTAGCAATAAAATTATATTTTGTTCCAAAACACTTTTGACAACAAATTTGTTTCTCACACTATATGATTGTGAGAATGTCAGCCATTTATTCTGACTACGCCCTCCACCAGCTGGCTTTTTCTGTTGTTTTTGTTGTCAAACTTCAAACTTTGAAGATCCCCAGACTTTTTCTCTAGTGCCCCCATGAGGTATGGTCTTAACATGTAATTCTGTTTAGAGATCTACTCCCCATTTAGTCAAAATTATAACTTTAAAGTTGCATTTTTGGTACATTAATTGGTTGGTACTATTTAACACATACTAGCAGGAAAAAGGCAGCACGGTGGCACAGTGGTTAGCACTGGACCTGAGTTTGATTCCACCAGCAGTGTCTTTCTGTGTGGAATTTGCATGTTCTCCCTGTGTTTGCTTGGGTTCTCCCCAGGTACTCCGGCTTCCTCCCACAGTCCAAAGACATGCACTTTGTGGGGATAGGTTAATTGAAAACATTTAAAATCGAAATTGCCCATATGTGAATGTGAGTGCGAATGGTTGTCTGTCCCTGTGTGTTAGACTGGTGACCTGTCCAGGGTGTGCCCCGCCTCTTGCCCTATGACAGCTGGGATAGCTGCGATCCTGAAAAGGATAAGCGGAAGCAAATGGATGGATAGCAGGAAAAAGCCCTAAGCAGCAGTACGTTGCCATTAGGAACCTAATATTTGCATCAGCATTAACTTTATGTACTTCTGTACCTAAGCACAGCCTCACAGAGACTTTTTAAATTACTGCATTGGCTTTCTTTGAAATTAAGAAAACTCTGAAGTAAAGCTGCAACAGTGGTGCATTAAAAAATTACAACTAGAAGTCTATGAGATTTCATATTTGCAAAAGTGGATTTCTTAAATGCAAAAAACAGAATAATGCAGCATGTCTTTCCCTCAACTCCCTTCTCTCTTTTTGTTGCTTCTCATCTTTTTCCATGTCATTTTTGGTACATATTGTCCCTGAGGTTGCATGCCTGTACTCTTCTCAGCTGTGTACTGTAAGTGAAGGAAAAACCAAAATAGAAGAGAACAAAATACCCCCCCCCCCCATACCCTGTAGTCTTGTGCTGCAGCCATCATGCAGGAGAGAATACAAGCCACGTCCTGAAAGTCAGGGGAGCCTTCATCCTCCTCCTCCTCATTCTCCTTGCAGACATGGAAGGTCTGTTTCCATGACAACGTGAGAATTAAGGGCGAAAGAGCGCCATCCCAAAATGACATATCGGATTTAGAGGCTAGGTAGAGCATAAATCACTTCTGTGAACGATAGAGGAAACTGATTTGAATTGAATGTGAATCCCATTAAATAAAAAATGACACATTGATCGATTCAGTGTTGTCTGCTTATTATCCTAATTATGTTCCTGTTACAAAGAGTGACATAACTTTGAAAAAAAGATAATTCAGTCATGATCAACAACACATTCAATGAATCAGTCACTGTATAGCTGAGAGTTTTTGATAACATAGTCTTTATTCTTAAACAATCACTAACTTCATTCTGTTTTTTATATAATCAATGCATATTTTTTGTCATCTCAGAATTCATAATGCATATATGAGCATGTTCCAATGCAGTGAATCATCTGCAAACATAAAAATATTAAAATAATAGTTATTATCTCATACAATCAAAGCCTTTATTAACCCCTTTCACACATCAAGAAACCCACAAAAAAGTGCTTTGCTTTACTGCTTTCTCACATTAGCTATTTTTGACTCCATGTATTCATTCCTGTCTCAGATCCTTTCATTCATCTGTCAAGAGTTGACCTTCAGTACACTTAACTTCATGCATTGCTTTAAGTCCACACATGTGTCATATGCACCAGTATAAACCTCTGTATAAAGATACTTGTATGCTGGTCTTGCCTGCTGACTTTCAGTGTCATGTCTAATATACTGTATGTATCACTGTTATTCAGTAGGTACTGTGGAAGTTGAACTAATCTACTGTTAGCTCTTACAGGTAACTTGCATCAGCTGCGGACCCGGGTCCAAGATGGAAGACTTTCCTAGATCCATAATGATGCCTATGCCACTGTAGTTTGCTGCGTGCAGCTGAATGTGTGCTATTTACTGTACATATCACCAAATTAGCAACCGGTTTCTAACCAGATGTAGGAGAGATGTATGAGCTCTCGCTAAAATACTGATCAAACTATTGCATAAAACATTTTGGACATATGCTCCCAAAAATCTAAAGACATTCCTCTTGGATCCCGCCTCAAACTTAAACCAAACTTACATCAACTTCTACAGTCATGCGATGGTCATGCTTGATCTCAACCGTTTCCCCTTTTCAGCTTTCCTAACTTAGCTAGGCTTAGCTGTACGTCATCTTTAATAATAGTAAAAAAGAAATAACACTATTAACCCCAATCCAAACACCACATTGGTGCCAGTCTTTGTGCAACTAGTGCTGGACAGTGGACATCCAGCCTCTACGTCTGGCCCATTCACTGCACAACTGTAGGACTTCCTGAGTTAGACAAACTAATTGGGGTTTAGAAATAAGCTCAGCAGCGTACACAGCGTATGTGGTGTCCCAGTCAACTCAACTCGTTTATACAGCCCTGTCAATCTGTTGATTTATGAAAGAGAGAGACTTTCCTCCACAATGCAGCAAGTGGCTCATTTCATTGGTCACAAAACCAGTGGGAATAGAGATGGCGTGCGTTACCATTTCAGAAAATCCCACTGAGATGGTAAGACATCCTCCTCGAATCTGGCCAAATCCATATGTACTGGTTCCTCAATGAAACATTTAGCTTCCATTGTGATGGCAAAGTTTGAATGATTGTGACCTTACAATTTTTGAACAAATTTTCAACATGTTAGGTCAGTGATTTATTAAACAGTCAGGCACCCTGTCCACCAGTGTTGAAAAAGTCTCTGGTCATTTCACAACAGAATAATAGAAATAGTAGAACTTTCTGGAAATTAGTCAACACAACCCTTCACGGCCGGGCTTGCCAAAAAAATTGCCACTTCTTTTCTTTCTGCGTAGAAAAACTGCAGAAGTCTTTAATCAAAGGTTATTTCATGTTTAATCCATATAGTTCAAAAGCACGACTACTGTTACATAGTTATATTTTGAGTTGTTGTTATAGCTAACAGCAGAAAAAGGGGTCTGTGGTTCTCGAGGTGCAAATGCGAAGTGACCGTTTTTGGCCATGGCTCGTAGTGCTGATGTTGGTCATTGCCATCCTCTCAGCTTTTGGAGAGAATATTATTCTTTGTCATTTTTGACAAGTTTGGACATCTCTTTGTTTATAACCTAATGCTCATTTTAAGTGATGAGATAATACATAAACTGTATCAAAACAGGTTTTCACTCGTTTCCAACTTTTAATGCCTCATACAACTTTCTTTGTCTTTTCTACTGACAAACACACCAACCGTGGAGATGTGTTGTCAGTGTTTTATTGTTTTTGTTTTTTTATTTAGAGACATACTAGACTACACTCTGTTATATTGCTTGTATCGGTCCCGTCCTGCCACAGCAGGGCAACATATGGAAGTTTGTGTCCTATAGTCACATTAGTCTAACTTACAATACACACCTGAGTAAATTACATCCCACCCTAAGCACTCTGTTTCCATTGAAGTCCAGCAAAGAGAACTATCAATATATTTAGTCTTACCCTCACACCAGTGCAAGTGGTGTGACAGTGCATTCAAGATCAAACTGTGAGAGAAAAAAAACACATAAGGGTAATAAAAAAAGTATTTTGTCTCAAAAACAAAAAGCTAGTAAATAAGATGATCGAGCAACAGATTAGTAATGATGATTATAATGAAGATGGTATAGTTATTATTGACAACAACACAATAAAGCATATGAGAATGCAATAGCATGTAGAAAAAAAATCAATGTATGAAAAGTGAACATGTATTAAAGCTTGTTTTTCACAGCATAAATCGAAAATGACAGATACTTGTATTTACGTGAAGGGAGACCACCATTTCTTTGTTTATCACAGCTTTTTTATACTTTTTTGCATAAAATGGTTGGTCAAGTCCTGATTGAAAATGACTTCTCCATATATATATATATA